GCCAGGATATCTGGGGTGAAGCAGTGCTGTGGGTGATGTCCTGGTTGTGTGAGAGGCTTAGGCTGAGGAATCTGGGGAGTGTTGTGGCTCTCCTGGTCCATGGAGTTTGAACATCACTGAAAGCAGGAGCAGCATGTGAAGATGGTATGGGTTGCGGTGAAACCAAACTGAGGAACAGCAATAAAATGTTCGGTGGGGAAGGTGAAGTGAAGGAAAAGCTGCTCTCAGCACAGGTCAGGCATTGCACTTCCACCAGGAGAATGCTCAGGAAAATTCCTAAAGGCAGGGAGGTTCAACCAACAGGGGATGATCCGTGGTGTTACCAAGTTGTGTCAGTGCCATTGTCTTCATTTCCATTTCCTACATTGTTCTTTCAAAGCTCACAGCTTTTTGTGTTAAAAGTGTTAACTTGTGTTCGATGGGGTTTTTTAATTTCAATTTTTAATGAGGCGCTGCAGGCATCCATAATGTTCTGTTTATTTTCCATACAAACTTTGGGCACAGAAAATCCTGAGAAGTGGCTTTTCTCTCTGATTCAGAGCAGAGCTTTGGGAGGCCCATTAAAAGTCCCGTTTTTGTGGGTGTGGTAGAGCAGGGAAGGGGGTGATTCATAGTTGCCTTCAAAAGTTATTCTACTGTAAGATACAGTGGCAGATTTCCTCTGGAGTTGCTCTGGAAGTTGTTTGACTCACAGTATGAACGTTACAAATTGTTTCATCCTCAGAGCTTTGCTTCCTCAGGGGTGAAGGTGTCAAAGAGTATTTCTTGAGCTAATTTTTACCTCCAGATTTTGGTCTGTGGAAATACCTTCCAGGGAAAGCTCTTGCAGAGTTTGTGTGGGCTGACATATTCTCTTCTCCCAGAGCAATTGGGTATTAACTTCACTATGTGCATTTTTGGGCTTACAGCCTTTTGTATTTACATTTTTTAATGGTTCAGAAGCATTGATTGTCTTTTAAATTCTCCCCCAAACACTCCAGTGTGTTTTCTGTGAGTCCATTAGGGCAGAATGAGTTACCACACCAGTATTTGCTTGTGCAGTTGGCAGTCACAGAGCACAGCATCAAAACATTGGCTTTTGATGAGTTTGAACATGACTTAGGATCCGAAACCTTGAAAAAAACCAAACCCTAAATTGCAAGGAGGAATGTTTAGAAAACATGGATTGCATTACTCATAAATAATGTAATGCCACCCAGCAAGGCCGAGTGACAGAAATGAGGCAATTCATGATTTCTGGCAGACGGCGCTCGATCATTGAAACCAACGTTTGAATCAAATCTTCTCTATGTATTTTTTTAAATCCAGAATTAGGTTATTTTTTGTTAGTGATAAATTTTTCTTAGAACTCCACAGGCTGTGCCTCTGAGTAGAGGCCAGGGGCCCTGTGAGAGGGACTCTTTTATTTTTCCCCCTCCTTGTGAGAGCTGTAGCTCTCTCCAGTGCAGCTCCAGCCTGAGGTTGGGATCGGTTCCACAAATCTGCCTCATGTTCCTGAGCCAAACTGAGTTGTATTTACCTGCTCAGGCCTTGCTGTTGTGTTTTGGGCTGTTCCAGCACCCATCCGGTTAGATTTAGATCTGTATAAACAAAAATAAAACTACTAAATTATCTCTTTTATTAGAGTTTGGCTTTATATGCTGAAGCCACAGTGTGAAAGAGGATCATTTTTTTCTAGAAGCTTGGTGGGGATGGCCCTTTCTGTAAGGAAATCTGCATTTCCTATTAGCATCCTGCTGGAGATCAGGGTTTTTTCTTCATTCTTTAAAAACGCTGCTTGTGCCAGAAGCTGCAGCTTTTTGTACAATGGTGTGTTGGAAGCATTTGCAGGTTTCTGAGCTCCTGCTCGTTGTGCTCAGGCTTTATTCCGACAGGGCTTCTCTGGTTGCTAGGTAGGTGCAGGCAGGCTTTGGATGCAGGCCAGGCCTGTCCGTGTGCTGCCTGGGCTGCGAGGAATCGCCGTCCCTTCTGCCTGTGTCTGAGCTCCATTGGAACATCAGTACTTGCATGGAAAAAAAGATTCTCACTCAGAGCTCCTTGGAGCCATTAGAGGGACTTGCACAGTGCAGCTGGGGGGCTTTGTGATCCTTTCCAAACCATTCCATGATCCTGAGACGTGCTGCCTTGCTGCACAAAAGCCTTCCAAGGATCTGTCTGAGACACCACTTTTAGTTCCTGTTTGTGTGTTCGTTGTTTTCTGTTAGAAATCAGTTGAGTTTTAGTGCTGGGAGCTTTGCTGAGCTGGTTTTATGAATTGAGCTCTGCTGAACAGACTTGGTGTGGGGGTTTTACTTGGAATTTTAGGAACATCCTGGGCATATATGTGAAGGGAGTCTACAAGAAAAATGGAGAAGGGAGACAATTTACAAGGCCTGGAGTGATGTGGGGGTAGCTTCCCACTGCCAGAGGGCAGGCTTAGATGGGATATTGGGGAAAAATTCTTCTCTTTGAGGGTGGAGAGGCCCTGGCACAGGGTGCCCAGAGCAGCTGTGGCTGCCCCATCCCTGGAAGTGTCCAAGGCCAGGTTGGACAGGGTGTGGAGCAATCTGGGATAGTGGAAGGTATCCCTGCCATGGCAGGGCATGGGAATGAGATGATCTTTAAGGTGCCTCCAACCCAAACCATTCCATGATTCTATGGTATGGATGTCCCTCGTGCTGCAATGGCTGAATATTGGTTTCTTTAACACAAAGAAATTTCTCCTCTCAAATTTGTGGGCATCTGAGCAATGCAGAACTCTCTGGAATCACTGAGGAGCTGCTCCCTCCCCTGTGGAGGAGGCCTCACAGTGCTGCTGCTTTGAGAAAGGTTTTTCAGCCTTGACCCACTTTGTTTTTGCAAAGGTTAAAGGACTTGAAGGAAAGGCTCTGCCACTCGGGCATCCTGTACTCAGTAGAATAATAGCACTTTGAATATTTTTGGTTTGTGTGTTTATTTCCATGGGTTTGACACAGGACTTAGGCATGAGGTTGGGTGAGTCACCGATAGATCGGCGGCAGAGCCATCCCCAGAGCGTCGCTCTGCTTATTTGTGTTTTATTGGGCTTTGAGTCACAGCTCTGAGGCCACTGACACAAGGCTTTCACAACAGAATCTGGCAAAGCAGGGTCTCTTCAAAGCAGGGTCTTCTCAGCAGGTGCCCCTGTATTTGGGCAGTGCTGGCATACTCATGTTTTTAAGTTCATTTGTCCAAGGGAGCATGATTCACACAATAATAGCAAAATGGCTGAATTTTTTTAAATTGCACCTGAACAATGTGTAGACCTGCACTTCTGATTCATTTATTGGTCACTTAACTCCTATTTGCCAAAATCTAAGTTTCTAACTGCTTCCAGGCTGACTGAGACACACAAGGCTGACCAGACTGAAAGAACCTTTTTAATGTTGTCTTTATTTCAGCAGTTTTGTTACTCTCTCCTCCAGATAGGAACTAAATATAAACTGTGGTGTGTATGTCTTCAGAATATTAAAACAAACTGTTGACTTGTTTATGCCACTCAAATGTTTAGTAGTAACTTTTTTGCTTATGCTTTTATTCTGCAAATGTAGCTGGAGTAAATTCTAGGGCTGCTTTTACTCACGTGAGAGTATTAAAATGAAGGAAAAGTTGAAGAGAGCAGATGCTTGGAACAAGTTTTGCATAAGCAGAGTCTGTGAGCGGGTTTTAAATGATGCTTCTTGCTTTCTGTTTTGTTTTATCTTGTGGCTCCAAGCCAGCCCCACTCAGAATTTTTCAGTAGTTTTCTGGGTAGAGCCAGACAAATGTTACAGAGGAACTTGGCTTTGATGTTCACCTGTTCTCAAGACGTGACTATTTCCTTCAAGATAATACAGGGGCTTTTTACAGAAATTATGGAGATTAATCAAAAGGCAAATAAAAAACATTTTTCCCAGCACTTGACATTTTAACTCTGCTATGAAAATGAGTGGGCTGGAATCGCTGCCTGCGTCACCGAGTGGGAGGAGAGGGGAGAACTTTGCACTACCTCGCTCAAATGCTCTGGAAATCAGGACATTTGTACCACGAGTAACTTCTTAAAACTCAGGCAACCAAGCACTTTAGGTTTGTTGTTGTTTCTTAACTGGAAAGAAGTGCTTTGAAGTGGAAATAGCAGCAGAAATTCTGGGAAATGGGCTATGTTTACTACCCTGTTTGGTTTGTAAGGCATGAGTAATGCAAATCTTGAGTGGAGGGTTCTCACCTAAATGATGCAAAGCAAATTAAATAGATGAGAATGGAACAAATCTGGGCAGGTATTTTAGCTACTTTATTTTAGCTACTTTTTATTTCAGCTATTTTCAAAATACCCATCTCATTGCAGATTTAGATGTTTCTCTGAGCAGTTCTGGGTATTCTTCTCTAGCCTACAAGTAATCAAGAGTTTTACAATCGTGTCTTAATCTGAGTCTTTACTCTTCTGGCAAATTGGCTTTATGGGGGCAGTTAGATGGGAGGTAATGGTTTTACTCTTCATCCATTTTCAGCCAGCGAAGTTCAAGAATAATCTGTCTTCCAAGACTAAGCTGATACTGGCACTGAAATGAAGAGTTTATCTCAAATCCTGTGCATCAGTCCAGAGCTACTTCTGTATTTTTGTACTCTGCAGCCACTTGGTTATTACCAGGGTGTTCAGAAAAGACTTGTAAAACTTTGTGTTATTTTTGGGGCTGTTTTTGTTTAAGAGTTTTTGAGTTTGGTTTTTTTTTTTTCCTTTTTGTTTTGGATTTTTGGTTGGGTTTTTTTAGGAAATCTAAACAAAACCTCCTGATTTTATTCATGCTGATCACTGAAGCTCATGAGTAAGAGAACAGTCTAGGTGTAGGAGGAGGATTAAGGATTAATAATGGGAAAGTATTTATTTGGAATTCCATGCTGTTGGAGACAGCTGATTTCCTTTCCTCGAGTGTGCTGCCTCTGGTGCCCACCTGGTTCTCCTGGGAGTTAGTTTAAGGGATTTTTTGTTGTGCTTTTCTCTAATCTGTGGGATTTTTCCTTTGCAGGACCCGTGGGGGCACAGCCCCTGCTCATGGTGCCCAGACGTCCCGGCTATGGCACCATGGGCAAGCCCATTAAACTGCTGGCCAACTGCTTCCAAGTTGAAATCCCAAAGATTGATGTCTACCTCTATGAGGTGGACATCAAACCAGATAAGTGTCCTCGGAGGGTGAACAGGTGAGAAGATACATTTGTAAAATGTAAATTGTATATTATACCAATGGGAATGTTGAATAACGTCAAGAGCTGTGAAAGGGAGATTTTCTTTCCTTTTCCCACATCTCAGCTGGGAGGTGAAAGTGTTGCTGCTCATTCAGCTTGAAGAGGAAGTCAATATTTATCATCTTCCTCAAGTACTTTGGGTTAATATTGCCTGGCCAGGACAGGAAGTGGTGCCTGGAAGCTGCTGCTGTGCAGGAAGGCTGCTTTGCATGTGCTGAAAGGAAAATGTTTCCATTCTGTGCCACTGAAACACCAAGACCTCCCAAAGAATTCACATCCCAAAGGCCTGTTACACTTGGAGGTGTTCCAAAAGTCCACTGTGTTCCACAAGTTTTATCTACTACTTTCATCAAGAAGCATTTTTGTAGAAGCTGAAAATTTCATCATGGTTTTTCAAGTGTAATTTCAGTGCTTGTGTCAGGTTAATCTTTATTGCCATCAATTTATAATAAAGCGAGGGAGGCAAATCTATAATTGTGTGCAAATTGGATCAGACTTTTGCATGATTTTGTAGAAGCTCAGGTTATTGAGGACTTAAAGCCAAGCCTGTTTTGTTAGGGCATCTCATGTTTATAACCAGTGTAGGCAGAATTCAAAATCTCATGGAGGAGCAGATAAACATTGCTGCAGACACACAATGAACTGCCTGAGCTTCCACATGGGGTTTGTGCTGTTTTTTCACAGTACCACTTTGTGGGTTTTTTCCAAGGTAACAGTGTTCTTGTTTTCCATCATAAAGATGATACCAAGGCCTTGGTAATTTCTAGGAGTTTCTGAAATTATTTCAGTACCAATATTCCTCAGTATTTGAGCATTTACATTGATTCTGATTTTATTCTGTAGTGTTTATTTAGTTAAAGTATCTGAAGCACCTTTTGGAACAGCAGTGGGTGTTTATAATTCACTCAAGTATTGTTTATTGCAACTACTTCAGCAAAACACCTGGGAGTGGGAGCCAGCTTGGGTCTGATCCTTCTTCAGAAACATCTTTAATGCAAATATCCCCTTTTCCAGGGACGTGGTGGACTCTATGGTGCAGCATTTTAAAGTGACAATATTTGGGGACCGTAGACCAGTTTATGATGGGAAAAGAAGCCTCTATACAGCCAATCCACTTCCTGTGGCCACTACTGGGGTAAGATAACTGGGAACATGTTATATTAGTAGCAGCTTCATAGGAAAGGACAAAACCCAACTCTAAATATTGCTGATGTCAGAAAAGCTGGAAGTGTCTTACAGTATCTGTACTGAAACTGAGTCCTTCTGATATATTTCCTGAAAATTCCAGGGTGTGTAAATGTTCATGTAATAGTTGCATCCAGAACTTCCTGTATAATTTAGTGGCTACTTTCTACAGCAAAATCGATTAAAACATTTCATTTTACAGACTGTAACACATGATCTTATGATTAATTGAAAAAAACAAGCCAAAGTTTTTCTAGAATGTATTGCTTTGTAATTTGGGTTAACAAAAAGTTATTCTGTCATCTTCTGCTTGGTCAGAGCCCAGTTCTCTTCACAAAAAGTACATTTGATAATGTACTTTCATCAAACGTGCTGTGTCTTCAATATCTGAGTTTTTGAGTCTCTGGCCCAGTTATGGAAGGAGTGGAATCTCAAGGCTACCAGACTCCAGATTAAAAAGCTGCTTTTTTATTTCTTTCTTTTCTCCCCTGCCCAGGTGGATTTGGATGTGACACTACCCGGAGAAGGTGGAAAAGATCGTCCCTTCAAAGTGTCAATAAAGTTTGTTTCTCGGGTGAGCTGGCACTTGCTGCATGAAGTTTTGACAGGAAGAACCTTGCCTGAGCCTCTGGAACTAGACAAACCTATCAGCACTAACCCTGTTCATGCTGTCGATGTGGTGCTACGACACCTCCCCTCCATGAAGTAGGTTCACTGTCTTCCTGCAGTCTGTCTTTACCTGAAGTATCCCCACTGGGAGACCTTCATCCCCATTTCTTCACAGGTGAAAAGAGAAACTGTTCATTCCCCTCTGCAGCACAGCTGGTGAGCTGAACAGGGAGCTTACAGTCAGTCCTGTACAAGTGTTGCTGTAGGCAGAGCAGGTGATGTGTGTGTTGGAAAAGATCAAGAAACATCAGGCATTTATAACAGGCCTTCACAGAAATGCTGAGAGGTTCCAGTGAGCTTCAGCACTGCTGTCCTGGTTCTGCTCAGCAGTGCCTGTGGAAAGCAGTCTCTTTAATCCATTGGTACACTGTCACCAGTGCATGCTTCTCATGTCTGAAATACATGGCTGGGACCAGGACCTGTCCTAACAAAGTCTCATATTTGTTATTTTATCTCAGAACCCTGAAATTTAGAGAAGGCTAATTTTGCTTGATTTGGTTAATGAAAGTTACTTTTGAGGTTGGTTGGCTTTAGGCAGCACAGTGGCTTTGCTCTGAGCAGATTTCTGATAGGTTTCACTGATAGCTCTGATAGGTCTCACTGTGTGTAGCTGACAACCAAAAAAGTGCCCTGTGGTTTTGTGGAATCCAGTGCTCCTCAGCTTCCCCAGATCTGAAGATGTTACCCTCTGTACCAATGCCTGTGCATTACAAAACAGGAGGTGTGGAGGCTCAGGAGCAGCTGCTTTCTACCTATGAGAGAAACATCATTTCATCTAGCTCTGTGTTTCCCCCATAGTTTTTGCTTCTCTCAATGTATCTTGTATTCAAAAGTTCCCTATGAATTAGAAAAAATGGTATTTAAGGGTCAGGCCAGTATAGACAAGGCTGTTGTACAGAATCTGCTGTGGTGGAGATTCCACTTTCTTGAAGCAGAAGATCAGGAGGGGTAAGTTAACTTAATTCTTGATTTGTTGTAAAAACTGAAAGTGGTTTGTGCATTGCTAAAAGTAGTAAATGTTTTTGTCTAAATTTAAAAGCACTGCAACAGGAACAGAAGCATTCAGGGTATTTTGTTTATACTTGCTTCTTGGCACAGATTGCTGGTGCACAAAATGCCAAACAATAATAATGCTGTGTGTTATAATCTTTGTTACATGAATTTGGTGTTTGGAAAACAAGAACATAAATGTGTGGCCACCTGTTTCACCAGGTACACCCCTGTGGGCCGCTCCTTCTTCTCAGCTCCAGAAGGCTATGACCACCCCCTGGGAGGGGGCAGGGAGGTCTGGTTTGGCTTCCATCAGTCTGTCCGACCTGCCATGTGGAAAATGATGCTCAACATCGATGGTGAGTGGGGATTCAGGGCTGAGATTCAGACCAGACATGTAAGGCAAAGGCTACCTAGAAATTCTAGTCTGTTTTCCTTGCATGATGTCAATGTTTGAGCAGAAATTTAGCTGCCATATAAAAACCAATATCTCTATATAAGAAAGAATTGCACAGGGCTTGTTTTCCTGCTTAATTTCAGTTTTGGTGCATCCCCAGTGACAGAAGCAGGTTGCCTGCACTGTGTCTCTGTGCAGCTGTACACAGTGAGTGGTGCTCAGTGCTTCCAAGAAAACTCTGTAAAACATACCCCAAACACTTCTCTGAATAGGGCTGATTGGAATAGGCTTTCTTATGCAAAAGGATAAGCTCTGCAGCACTGCATTGAGTCCCAGATGAATGGATCTGAGATCAACTGGTGCCTGTGTCAGACTCCCTCGTCCTGTGAGCACTCAACTCTATTTAGTTGTTAAACCCTCATTGAAAAGTGTCAGTGGTGGAGATGCAGGTGCTGCCTGAGGTTTTCTCTGATTTGCATTCAGTTCTCACTGTCTTTGAAATGCTTTATAAACCCAAGGTAAATTGTCTTGCTTTACACTGAGCACTCCAAGTCAGGTTGTGCTTGGAGCATAATAAAATATTGCAGATGTTGAGCTGTCTTGCTGAAAATTTGCAAGTCCATGTGTTCTGGTTTACGTAAATTGTGGGTGATTCTCGTGTGACTGAAGTCACACAGTTTGTTCTTGTAAAATTGCCTTTCCAACAGCAGCTGTGCTTTAAAAAAATGAATGTAAAATCTCAACCTGTCCCAAAAAGAACCAGTGCTGTTATCTATATGCAAGGTACTGAGAGAATTGCAGTTCAGGTAGAAAAGGATGAATTTACACCAGTTGATAATGCACTGTGCTGTTACTTTGTGACACAAGTTTTTCTTACCAGCATTAGCAAGTGTAGTAGTAACTCTTGGAGTAGAAGTTTTTCAGTCCTTCCTGTGAATGAGAAATTTGAAGCCCTTTGTAAGTGCTGATTCACAGAGCTGTTGTTCTGTTTCCTCATTTGAGGCTGTGAAATTGTCTTCAAATCCCATCACTGGAGGTTTTTCAGTTGTTTAGTTGGATGAGGTTCTCCATGGAAGTTTTGCTGTGGGAGACAACCCACACACTGCCAGGGTGGGGAGAGTGAGGATTTGGGGTCACTCAGAAATCTGGAGCAGTCTCAGGCATCTGGAGGTGTTGGTTGATGCCTCATGTGAGGTTGGTAGGCTGCTCCAGTGACACATGTCTGAAGAATGTTGGGTTGTGTGAGCACAGATGTGTGGCAGGTTTGGTACATGAGATCTGGAAAACTGATAAATGCTCGTTGAGTATTTCTTTTCTGTTGTTGACATTTAAAGTTTTAAATGTGTGGAACAGTTTGTGTCTGAGCTCTGTCTAGTCCCACCTCGCCCTTCCTGCCAAAGGTGTTGTTTCATTTGCTTGTACTTTGTCAAGAAGGTAATTTATGATTTATAAGAAGTCAGCTGTCCTGCTTAAAACCAGTGAATTGTCCCTTAAAGTGATGGTGTCATTAGCATGTGGGGAGGGGAGGAGATTTGAGTAGATCAAGGGTTCCACTCCCCCTACACCAACACAATTTGTGCATAGTCAAAATAGTGCTCATGTCTGCACCAGATATTGTTTCAGTAATTGAGCAGATTGTGTAACTGACAAAATTACATTGCATGTTGAATTATGTTAGCTTTTAATATTCAAAAGTCTGTGGTAGAGGGATATTAATCCTGTCTCTGCAGCTTCATACAGAGGTAAAAGAGAATGTCTCTCTGGGGTGCTGCAGCTTTCTAGAAATAAATGTTCTCTGGGGGAAAAACCCTTTCAAACCCCTGAAATTCCAGGTAGTAGCAGGATGAGTGTACTGGAGAGAGATGTGTCACTGTAGACTTTCTGCTGGCTTTTTGATATTTTACTCTTGCAGAACTCACTGTTCTGTTTCTAAATGTACCTGAGGTTTATGTGGAATTCTAAGAAATATTGATGTATGAACTGCTTCACAGTACCTTGACTGGGGTTTTTTTACACTTCATGTTTTGCTCTTTGCAGTTTCTGCCACTGCCTTCTACAAAGCACAACCCGTAATTCAGTTCATGTGTGAAGTCCTTGACATTCATAATATTGATGAACAACCAAGACCTCTGACTGATTCTCATCGGGTAAAATTCACCAAAGAGATAAAGGGTGAGTAGAAATTGGTTGGTTTTCTTCTAGGTAACACACTAAAGTTAATTCTAAGGGAATTGTTTTAACTGGAAGCCTGTTTAACATGGCTCAGAATGGCCTGGAGCTGCCAAGAGAATTGCAGTATCCATGTGTGTAGCTCTAATCCTGAGACAAACAATGCAGCTCTGCAGAAATGGGAGCTGAAAAACATTCCCAGTGGCTTAGAGGGAAAGAGGGAGCACGTTGTTCATTGCCTGGGCAGAGGTAAGTGGCTTGTGCCAACCTCTCCTAACCCAGGGACCCTGAGGCCACCTGGCATTGTGTGTGGGTTCCTGTTGTTTCAGTGCTGTGGCAAAGTGAACATTGATTTTAAGGCTAACATTGATTCTTTGAAAGAGTGTTGTTAGAGTGAATTCTAATAACTGATTGCCTTGTGGAAAAATAAGTACCACTTGCAGCTGAAGGCCAAATTCCATTCCAAAGGAATTGCATAAGCTGCTGGTTTGAGTGGTTTCTCTCCATATATGCTACTTGGGGTTTTATTTTCCCATATCCTTCATTCCAGTGTAATTTGCAGGGAGAAAATCCTTGGAGGAGCTCAGCTCTTAAACACTTGATGCAAGATTAGACTGTACTGAAATACTGGGCAGCTAAAAAGTAAATTTGAACTGTAATGCTGAAGGGATGTGCTCACAGAAGAGCCATGACTGAAAAAAGACAGGAATTATTTTGTTCTAGTCCTAACATGCCCCCTTTTACATCTGCCTGTCTGCCTTAATTCTGCAGGGCAGGTAACTGGAGGTTGAGAAGCTGCCTTTGCTTGATCTCAGATGCCTCAGAGGCTCTGTTGCCATAGTCAGAAAATACTGAAAGTTCTCCCTTTGCTCTCAGACTCATCTTTGCTGCTGTAGGGTCTGAGAGCTCCAGCCAGGACGTGACCATGTACAGCAAAACAAGGCCTGCACTAGAGCTGGCTGTGTGTGAGCAGCACTGGGGGAGGGCACTGCCTTGCTAATGTCACAGCAGAGTAATGACAGAGCAGGGAATGGGTTCCAGAGATCTCTGTGTTCATCAGCCCTTGTCTGTGGTCACAGTGCCCCATGGTTTCTTTTCTCTGTTTGCTCTTAATGCCATGTCAGGGCAGTGGTGGTTTATTTTTACTGTGCTGTCCTCTGAGTAATACTGATGTTCTTGATGCAATTGGTGTTGTCAGGGAGCAAGGAGGCACAGTCAGTGCTTCTTTGTGGTATCTGTGTCCCCTGTAAACTGAACACAATCTGGTGGCTGGTACCTGGGGACCTGATTCTGGGTGGTGTTCAGTCAGTGGTCCACAATCCACACAAACCTCAACAGGATGAGCCATCCAGTTGCTCTCTCAAAGGCCTGTAATACTAGACTTCACTAAAATTAGACTTTACTACTGGAGGTGAATCCTTTGAGTACCCAAGCTTTGTTTTTAGCTGCTTTCTGTCCTGTGGAGCTGGGGAGGGACAGCAGCGTGTGGATGCTGTGATAAGCTCAGTGCTCCCAGCAGATGTTGAGGCTGCTCTGTGTGAGCAGCACAGTGTGTGCACAGTCACAGCAACAGCCCCCAGAGCCTCCTGGAGCTGCCACTGGCATGATTATCGTGGGCAGAGATAAGTCTGGAGAGGTTCTGCTGTGTAGGCTGGGTGCTTTGAGACGAGATTCTCAACATGCAAAATTAAACTTGGTCAGTGAAATGAAAGAAAATTACAGGATGAATGTGGACACAAAGCTGGGGGGAAGATGATAAAGTAGAAACCTGGTTTTGTCCTTTTAATTTCAATTACATTGGAACTGACAGGTTGGAGAGATGTACTAGATAGAGAATGAGAACACAAGGATATGGTGAAAACTGCTGTCCGAGTTCAGTCAGTGCTTTTTAAATGAAATTCAGAAGCCACTGAACATTAAATATTTTACGTCATGATTTGTGAGGATAATCACCAGGATTAGTCAGAACTCAAATTATAATGAAAGTAAAAATGTTCGGCGAATAATAATTTCTTTGTGCTATTTGATGCTGACCCCAAAGCTGTTTTGTTCCATCATTTAAAACCTTGTGTTTCCTGTGTACATGTTTGTGTAGCTATGGCATCAGGGTTTTTTGATGCTTTTATGCAGGTCTAAAGGTAGAAGTGACTCACTGTGGGACAATGAGGAGGAAGTACCGTGTCTGTAACGTAACGAGGCGGCCTGCAAGTCATCAAACGTAAGAGCCTTTCTGTCAGAGCATGAAATGTGTGATGGTTTCACACTGAGTAACAGGACCTGACATTTCATTCATTTTGGGGTGATGCTGTTTGACAGATAATATTTTACTGAAATGTCTGTCTTCTCAGCTTTCCTTTACAGCTAGAAAATGGCCAGACTGTGGAGAGGACAGTAGCACAGTATTTCAGAGAGAAATACAACCTCCAGCTGAAATACCCTCACCTTCCTTGTCTGCAAGTGGGACAGGAACAAAAACACACCTACCTGCCTTTAGAAGTAAGAACCTTACTCTGATAGATCAGTTGGGCTTGGGTGGGTTCTGTCAGTTTACAAAACATTAAGAATCTATGCTCTTTGCAATACAAGTGTGTTTATGGGTTTACATGTACAGAGTACATGGTTTACTCTTTAATTTCACTAAATACTGTCTGCATCCTACAGTGCTTTGAAATGTAGAAATAAGAGAAAGAACAGGCAGTTGTTCAAACACGTTGGGGTTTATAGTGGCAGCACAGTGTCACGTGTGTACAGTGTGGTGTGATCTGAGTGCTTCTGCTGTGAATTAATGCTTCTGGTTTCCCCTGCAGGTGTGTAACATCGTGGCTGGCCAGAGGTGCATCAAGAAGCTGACAGACAATCAGACATCAACCATGATAAAAGCAACAGCCAGGTCTGCCCCAGACAGGCAGGAGGAGATCAGCAGACTGGTGAGTGCCCCAGTCCCAGCTCCATGGGACACTGGGCTGGATTACATCCATGCAAAACTTCCTACTCTTTTCATTCTCTTCATCCTTTAACTAAGCAGATTTTAACTACTTTTTTTCATAGGATTTATTTTAAATTACATGCAATGATAGCATGAGTTCATAGTACAAGCTCTTGCATTATCATCTCTACACTTAATTTACTGTGAGGAAATGCTCAAAAAAATGCCTTTGAATGAACAAACTGAAAATGAGCACTTGAGTAATGAAGGGAGCAGAAACCATCTCATCCACTAGATCTCATGGTGGTAATTGTTTTCATTGGGGATGGGTTGACAGTATTGAGCAGTCACGTCTGAGCCTTTTTCAATGAAATTGTTTTTAAGAACACTTCTGCAGTGTTCCTGTTAGCCTATGGTTTCTTATATGGTTTACAATCAGATACTTCTGTAACATGTCAATCTCTCCTAGGTGAGAAGTGCAAATTATGATGCAGATCCATTTGTCCAAGAGTTCCAGTTCAAAGTGAGGGATGAGATGGCCCATGTGACAGGACGTGTGCTCCCAGCCCCAATGCTGCAGTATGGAGGACGGGTGAGGCTTTGGCTTTTCCTCTGCTTTCCATTTTGAGGAGTGATTCCTGTACACTTTGACTCCACAGGGATCAGACTTTGAATGATAAACTCTTCTTTGTTGTTCTGAAACTGCAAATAGCACTGGCTGCTTCTTTTTTTAGTCACTTGAGTGTCTGTTGCTTTTGTTTCCCCAGAATCGAACCGTGGCAACACCAAGCCACGGCGTGTGGGACATGAGAGGGAAACAGTTCCACACTGGGGTGGAGATCAAGATGTGGGCCATAGCTTGCTTTGCAACACAGAGACAGTGCAGAGAAGAAATTCTGAAGTAAGGCATGTTGTGGTTCAGGCTTTGGACTGTTCTCTTAAAGAAGTGTAACGTGAATGTAGGATTACAATCAGCATTTTAGCTGGGTTTAATGTGAGATGTTAGGGTGGGAATCTGGTTTGCTTACAATCAAAACACTGTACTGGGTACACTGTGGGGTGTTTGTTCAAGGTATCAGAAAGGACTATATACAGTGATATTACCAAGACAAAGTACTGTCTAGACTATTTTTTAGCCCATTCTGGCCTGTGGTGTTTCACAGCTGTACAGCCTTCACATAACAAACATTTTTAAAATGTTACTTTAAAAGCTATTTGGAATCATCCTCCTTTGATGATTCTGTCCCTTTGTGCTTTGTTCATTGTGTACTTTTGCTACTGCAAAAATCCAAAAATTTCCTCCTCTGCAGGGGTTTCACAGACCAGCTGCGCAAGATCTCCAAGGACGCCGGGATGCCCATCCAGGGCCAGCCCTGCTTCTGCAAGTACGCCCAGGGTGCAGACAGCGTGGAGCCCATGTTCCGACACCTCAAGAACACCTATTCAGGGCTGCAGCTCATCATTGTCATCCTGCCAGGGAAGACACCTGTGTATGGTAAGGGAACACCTCTGTCTTCACCTGTTCAGTCAGGTATCATTCAGAGAAATCTGCTGCCTAGCATATGTTAAAAATTACTCAGAACCGTCCTTAAGGTATTAGACACCACTGTTTTGTGTCTGAAGATAAATTGGAAGCAGGTCTGAGTATTCAGATAAATTAGAAGTTACTGCACATTATGTGCACTAGAATTATTGTGACTTATCTAAGATCAAAATGCAGCAATGACCTCAAATGGACTCAAGTTGTCTCCTTGTGTTTGCTTCCCAGCGGAGGTGAAGCGCGTGGGAGACACGCTGTTGGGAATGGCCACACAGTGTGTTCAGGTCAAGAACGTCATTAAAACATCTCCACAGACCCTCTCAAATCTGTGCCTGAAGATTAATGTTAAACTAGGAGGAATCAACAACATCCTTGTACCTCATCAACGGTAAGACTCTGAAGATTGCGTTGGGTTTTCTTTTTTCTTTTAACAGATGTGGTTACATTTGCTACTTAGCACCCAAAATTTAAATGTGGCCAAGTTTTAAATTAAAATAGTCTTTTGATAATAATATGTGGTATTTGAAGCAGAATTAAATTCCTTCCAGCACAGGCTCAGAGTGGTGGTTGACCTGTGCAGTAGATCTTCAGCCAAGGTTCTTGTCAAATGTTTGATCAGTATCAAAGGTGAAATGAGAAACAGTTATGTGAGGAAAAATATTTTAGAAGCAGTATAAGAGCATGCTGCTGCTCAAGTCCTGCAGAACAGTATAATGTGTATGCTGGTGCTGTAGCTCAGTGGGGCTCAGGGGACCCCCAGGCTCACGTGGGGCCTCTGAATCCCCCAGCTGTGCCGTTCCACTGGAGCCCTGGGGCTGCTCCCCACCACAGTCATGCCCCAGTTCTGGCAGTGTGTTTGCAGTGTGTTCTGGGCTCTGCTGGGGAGGGTTCCAAGTTCACCTCTTGTGCACAAAGATCCCATTGTTGAGCCTTGGCCCGGGTACCTGATAAGGCTGAGACAGAAACAACCCCCACGGTGAGCGATGACCTTGTGGCAGCTCTTCAGCTACGAGTGTGACTTAGCACTTTTTTCTTTTTGAAGACCTTCTGTGTTCCAGCAGCCAGTGATCTTTTTGGGAGCTGATGTCACTCACCCTCCAGCTGGAGATGGAAAGAAGCCTTCCATTGCTGCTGTAAGTTTTATTAAATTTACATGGTGTTTTTTCATTGTGGGTAAATGTTAGAATTCTAAGTGCAACTCATGGGCTATGTCTATATCAAATATCTTTCAGGGCTTATGCCAGTTCTTTGTACACATTCCCAATGATATTAAAAATCGTGTGTTTAGAAGAAAAAAACTGCCTTATACTTCAGAGTGGTTCCTTAGCTCTTTAATTTTTAAATCAAGGTAAAATGGCATTGTTAAATAATATATTTCTACAGAAGTATTCTCAAGGAAATAACACAGCTTGGTGACATTAGCTATGGGAATAAATCACACAGGACTCAATTTTCTTCATGGTGGAAAAAGGCCATTCTGTACTCATATAAATAGCTAGCCTGCCTTAGAAGAAATTACAGGCCAGGCAGAGCAGGCCTGATTTTATGAGGCCTTTCTTTATGATTTTTCTTCCTTACTGCAACAGTTAGCTAGTAACCTTTTTGTTTTTCAAAGGAGAAAAATGTCATTAAAGACCTGGTTTGGCAAAAATGTTTTTGACATTTCTTACCTTTTGTGTTGGTACAGTCCAGGAACTCAAGGTGGTGATTAGAGGCTTGGCCAGTCCTCTCCTACTTCGTCCCCTTGGTATTTTAGTTGCCATTGATTGCAGGAAACTGCATTTGTGTTTAAAGTAACTAAGGGAAGCTGAGGTTTTTCTCAGTGTTAAAGGTGAGAAAACGTCACAGAAAAATGTCTGTCTGGATTATAAAATACGCCTTAGAGAGAAGCCAAATTCTGCAGGTGGCATTTCAGGATGCTTGGGGGCAAAAGGTGTTAAACCTGTACCAAGTACAAGTTCCTGTTGAAAGTGTTACTGTGGTTGTTGTTTAGCACAAACAACTTGTACTTGCCTCTCTTGGCTTTTTTGTTTTGGATTGTTTTGGTGTAGATTTGAGCTTGAAGGCTCCCCTGGTGCATCTCCCCACAGGTTGTAGGCAGCATGGATGCTCATCCCAGCCGGTACTGTGCCACGGTGAGGGTCCAGAGGCCCCGGCAGGAGATCATCCAGGACCTGGCCTCCATGGTCAGGGAGCTGCTCATCCAGTTCTACAAATCAACACGGTTCAAACCCACCAGGATCATCTTCTACAGGGACGGGGTCTCTGAGGGACAGTTCCGACAGGTTGGTTCACTTGTGGGTTCTTGAAAGATTCTCCTACTCTGTAGTAGCTGCAGGTCTTGTTTTGTACTGTTTGAGTTGCTTACATTTACACAGAATAATTGAGGAGAGGATTTCTTAATCTTGTTGGGTAAAAAGAGTTGCAGGTTTTTTTCTGTCTGGGAAGGAGAAGTCTTCAAATTTGGGAAATCACATATCTCTAAATACTGAGATTACCAGCTGTGTGCCAAAGTTGTACTTGTTAACTACACTGAGTTGTGTGTAGAATACAGTGGAAGGAAAACCTAAACCCCTCTGTTCTTGTGTTTGTAGGTTTTGTATTATGAACTGCTGGCCATTAGAGAAGCCTGCATCAGTTTGGAGAAGGATTACCAGCCTGGCATAACCTACATTGTGGTGCAGAAAAGACATCATACACGGCTGTTCTGTGCTGACAGAACAGAAAGGGTAATCACTGCCCTCTGAGGAGCCTTTTGGGAAAGCTTCACGAGGAGCTTTTAGGCTGCTGGAGAAAATATTAGTGTGGGCTCCTGTCCATCTGGTTAAATGTGCATGCAGGGATGTGTTGATTTGATAAAATGAGGCCCCAAATTGAAAAATCATTGACCTTAAGTCTGTTAAAAACCCCCACAACATCACATTGGAGCTAAAATCGTGTGACTACTCAGGACCAATCTCCAGCAGTAATAGAAGAAAGTACAGAATGGTGGAACCTTTTTTCTCAGTTAATCAATCCAAACTAAAGCTGACAATTCTAAATACAACTGTCTGCAGCTCCTCAGTCTGAGCTGGAAAGTTCTGATGTGCTGGAGGTGCAGTGTTGTGTAAGGTGCTGGAGAACCATCCAGTGTCCTTGTCAAACCTCCAAGGCTGATGTAGCGGCACATTCCAAAGAGTTCTGTGGCACTTGATGTGCAGAAACCTTGCCAGTGGTGAATAGAAACTTGTATTTTTCATTACAGTTGAGCTGTAGAAACAGCTGAGGCTGCACTTACCAAACCTCTTCTCTAGGTTGGACGAAGTGGCAATATTCCAGCTGGGACAACTGTGGATACAGACATCACACACCCCTACGAGTTTGATTTTTACCTCTGTAGCCATGCTGGAATACAGGTATGGATGATTTGTAAATGTGAATTCAGAACAAATTGTTTTTCTTTTTGTGACACCTGTTTACAAACAGTTACTAAGCAGGGAAATGTTCTTTTAGCTTGGTTTTATCTGAGATAAAACATTATTGTGGGACATAGAGGATGATTTGCCTAACAAATGATTTGCACATTTAAATTTGCACTGGTAGTGGTGATTGCATTGGTAAGTGGTGATTTTTAAAGTTTTGTTTTTAAGAGGTCACTTTATTTTCTAACATTATTATTTCTGAAAAAATATTATAGCCTTGTATCAGGCTGTTGCTTAAAAGGTTAAAAAAAAATTTACTCTTTAAATTTTTATCATGTGCATCTGACCACATTGTCATCAGTTTTGTTTAGGTTGGCTGGGCATGACTTGTTTTCCATTTTTGAATCATTTCAATGGGTTTTTTGTCAACCTTCACACTATGTCTGAGCAAGCTGCTTTCTGGCCCTGTGGAAAAAGATTTATATCAAGGAGAAGCAGAAAAGATTTATGTCATTTGAAGCAGAAATGCTGGGTGTAGTTGCAGCTCATTGTGTTTATTATAGCAAGGCATAAAGAACCTCAACTAAATTGACACTCCAGGTGTATTTGTTTTAAAAGAAGAGATTTGTAGCTTGGCTAAAGCACAACTATTCACCCAATTCAGGTGCACTGTAAGATTTAAGTTGAGTTTCTAGTGTTCATACTTGCAGTTAGGGTGCTCGGGAATTGAGGTGGAAGGATTTAAACTGAGGTGGAAGGATTTAAACTGAGGTGGAAGGATTTAAATTGAGGTGGAAGGATTTAAAAGCACTGCTTGTTTCTCTGGGATGTTTTGTGAGATGGAGTTTAATTGAAGGTAGGTAAAAGGAGCTGTAATTGTGGTTTAGTCATGTTGGGAGCAGATGTTGATCTCTGAGGGGTTTTATCCAAGCAAGAACATACAGAGCAATAGAATCATGTGTATGTGAGACTTACTCATCTTTAAGTGCATTTAGGGCTGACTTAATAATGAACTTATTCAGCTGCTGTTACGTAGGCATTCACACTAGATACCTTGAGCCTTTCTGAACATCAAAACCTGACTTGTTTATGGAAATCCAGACAAGTGACTGTCCATGCCCATCTCTGCAGGGAACCAGCCGTCCCTCCCACTACCACGTGCTGTGGGATGACAATTGTTTCACAGCAGACGAGCTGCAGCTGCTGACGTACCAGCTGTGCCACACGTACGTGCGCTGCACCCGCTCCGTCTCCATCCCCGCGCCCGCCTACTACGCTCACCTGGTGGCATTCAGAGCACGCTACCACCTCGTGGACAAGGAACACGACAGGTACATCACAGGCTCTGCTCAGGGTTTGGTCCTCACTGCTCTCATCCACTGTCAGGCCTAAAGGCACCTGACTGTGTGTGGGTGAGTCCCGCTGGTCTCACGCTCAGTTTTTGTTAAGATCATCACTCCTGGCAGCTGCTGTTCAGCATCAGACCAGAGTGGGTTGGTGGATTCTATTGAATAACACTCAAATTAAAAGAATCCAGTTGCTGAAGTATTTTGTTATGAATTTGACGTGGTCTGAGGCAATCAAGCTGCTGATTTAATTTTTTTGCTTTAGGATCAGAGTAGTCATGAATGAACCAAATTTTAAGTGCTTCCACTTATCTAACTCTGTACGTCAGAAGTATTTTACAACCTTCAAGCCATCAATTTATTTATAAAAGGCTTATTTTTAGATGAACAAGCTGAGCAGCCATGGTGAAGAGATTTGTCAAAAGCCTCAGGGTTGCTGGGTGAATATGAGAGTTGATATTTCTCAGTGTCCAGTTCTGTCACTGGTGCTGTGTTGGTGAAGGGTCTGGAGAGTCAGTCCTTTGGGGGCTCAGCCTGGAGAAAAGTGGGGTCTCAGTGTCTACAACTCCCTGACAGGAGGGTCCAACCAGGGCTGGTTTGGCTTCCAGGGAACATGGGACAAGTCAAGGGGAAACAGCCTCATGCTGTGCCTGGGGAGGGTCAGGTTGAACATCAGGAGGAATTTCTCCATGGAAAGGGTGGTCAGGCATTTGAAAGGGTGGAGTGCCCATCCTTGCAGGTGCTCTAGAACAACAACATCAGGAGGAATTTCTCCATGGAAAGGGGGGTCAGGCATTGGAAGGGGCTGCCTGGGGTGGTGGTGGAGTCCCCATCCTTGCAGGTGCTCAAGAACAACTGAACGTGGCACTCTGTGCTCCGGGCGGGATGATGAGGTTGGGATCGCTCACAGGTTGGACTCGACCTTCGAGGTCATTTCCAACCTCAGCGATTCTGTCCAAGAGACGCAAAAGCAGCTTTTTGATTGTAAATTAATACAATTTACAGCCCTGCCTGTCTCTCCCTCGTTCCCTGCAGTGCTGAAGGGAGCCACGTGTCAGGACAGAGCAACGGGCGAGACCCGCAGGCCCTGGCGAAGGCTGTACAGATTCACCAAGACACCTTACGCACGATGTACTTCGCTTAAGTCAATGACCCGGGAGACACTCACGGAGAGGAGAACTGAGAACTTAAGCCACATACAATGTATGTTTCCAGGGGGTTGGTTTAGGGGCTGTGCCTCCCATCGTGCTGGAGCTGACGCTGTGCAGGGGCGAGAGGCTCACCCTTAAATTGACACGAGGAAGATTGTTTACTTCATCCAGGAACACAGCACTATTATGCAATATGAAACCAGCCAACTGCTTTTTTGGGGCGGGCTCCTGTGGGAAGCCACCGCCATCATTTTTTTTTAATTATTATTTTCTCGTAGTTTAACCCTCTTCTGCCTTTACCTCAAGTTGCTCGGCAGCACAACTATTGTTGCAAAAAAAAAAAAAAAGGATAGTAATAATAAACTAAAATCTATTGTGTAATTTAAAACAAAAAAAAAAAAACAAACCAACTTTTAGAAACAATCACAGTGATTGTTTGGAGAAGGGAAGTGTGCAAAAAAGAAAATAAGTTTTTAACCCCAGTGCATTGAGGAATCTTCCTCTCAGTATTGCCATCGAGCGTTCGAATGTGAACATATCCAAGTGCATTGGAATGTGCAGTACTAGCTAGGTAACAGTGAGGGGGGGAAGATATTTTGCACACTAATCCAATAATTTGAACCTAATTTAGCCAACGGCTGCCTTTGTGTCTTTTCTCACAGCTTTGGAGTTCTCAGCTCCAAGAGTTCCCTTTCAAAAGCAATCCAAGAAGCTCGTGGTTCATGTGCAGGCAGTAGTGACCCAACTCTTCTTGCTCCCTGGGGGAATTTACTAAAGCTGCTGTTTTACCTAGTCCAAAAGTTTCAATTTTTTCCTATCTGGCAAGTCAAATCTGTTGAAGCCTCACGTGAGATCTGATGTCCCAGGTTTTCTGGGATGACATACAATAACCACCAGAACTGAAACTTTAGAGCTAAGGTCTTTTTGGAAAAAAAAGAAACCTGCTACTTTACTTGCTGCCTCTCACACCTTAATGTGATTCATATGTATGTGTGTTTGAAGTTTAGCTTCCTTTTGTTTCTTTTATATTTATTAGAGTAATAATAATGCTTTAATTTAATTATTACAGAACATATGGTCAACATCAACTTTTATTTTTTAGAAATGTAATCATGTTTATTTTTAAAAAAAAGAAACTGACAACTTGTTTTGCTATCTTTTAGTGCAATAAGCATTCTAAAGAAAAACTGTGTCCATTGAGCTGTACTGAAGCAGTGTCCGTACCACGGACCGTGGGAGAATGGACACCTCCAGGATTTTAAAAGGACAAAGTAAAAGCCTTAATTTTGAAAGGAAAGTTTTATAGTCAGAAGGAATCTTGAATTTTCCTTTTTTAAATCAAAAAAAAATACAAAAAATGCTTCTAGACTTCTGCAAGCTTTACTTGTCGCTGCAGTCTTTTGATTTAACAAAGGAATTGGCCTTATTTTTGGCTTTGAAATGTGGAGCATATTTGAATTAAATGGAAAGGGTTTTGTATTAAGATCTCAGTTTTTACATGCTTAGTTAAACCTATTTGACATCAGTAAAATGTCTGGAATTAATAAAAGTTTTTAGGCTTTTTTCCTCTTTGATAGTGACTTTCCTTTTAAAATTAAGTTATTGGTAACTTCATTTCACTTTGCAAATAAAGAGGGCTGGGATAGTTCTAACATGTTAAATCACCGAAATGTGAAACAAACCAATGGGACTCTTTCATTCCACTTTAAAACCAATGTTTAAGATGTCAGAGACGAGCATTTATTCAACAAGGGGACTGGGGAGTTTTGCACTTTGTAAACTCGTGAACTGCATTTTTGACTGTTTTTATTTGCACTGGTTCATAGTATATTTACTGCAGCTGTTTGTATGGGCATTGCTGTGATCCCAGCCCTCCCGACCTCCACCTGCTCTCACATGAAAACCTGGTTGGTCTAAGTAGCTTCTCTCCTCATTCTCACCAAATCTGCTGTTTGCCAATATACTGTATTTTGAGCCTAAAATCTGAGCCCATTTTGCTTCACCAGGCATGAACCCCCTTTTTTCTGCCAGAAAAACCAAGTACTGTATTTTGTGCGTTTGTATATTGTATGGAAATGTCCGTAGCGCTGTTCACAACACTGTCTGCAAGAGCTTTACTAACAGCTGGTGTAGATACCTATTTTATCTCTCAAAGACAAGGAAAATAATGTCAAAAACTAACTTGGCAAAGCTAAAATTGCACTGGAAACAGTGGTGGGGGTGGGCATTGGCTGGGGGTGCTTGG